CTGTGTCTGTGGACTCGGGCGTGGGGGCTGTGTCTGTGTCTGTGGACTCGGGCGTGGGTGCTGTGGCTGTGTCTGTGGACTCGGGCGTGGGTGCTATGTCTGTGTCTGTGGACTCGGGGGTGGGGGCTGTGTCTGTGTCTGTGGACTCGGGCATGGGTGCTGTGGCTGTGGACTCGGGCGTGGGGGCTGTGTCTGTGTCTGTGGACTCAGGTGTGGGTGCTGTGTCCGTGGACTCGGGCGTGGGGCTGTGTCTGTGGACTCGGGCATGGGTGCTGTGGCTGTGGCCGTGGCCGTGGACTCGGGCGTGGGTGCTGGGCTGAGAAGGTTGGGTGGGGCAGGCAGCAAAGTTCCTGCATCCCCGGAGGCCGAAGGGCGGGCGACTGAGGAGGGGGGAAGGGTGGCGAGGCCCAGTGAGGCCCGCAGGGTGGGGGGGACTGCAGGAGCCAGTGGAGGCCGTGGGGCCTGAGGGGAGGGGGGGTGACCTGGCCTGTCCTCCAGGAAGCAGGGGAGGGGCAGGACGAGTGACCAGGTCAGCCTTCCAGGAAGCAGGGGAGGGGCGGGCCGGTGATCAGGCCTGCCTTCCGGGAAGCAGGGGATGGGTGGATGACAGGGCCTGTTCTCCGGGAAGCAGGGGAGGGGCAGACGGGTGACCAGGCCTGACCTCCGGGAAGCAGGGGAGGGGCGGACGGGTGACCAGGCCTGACCTCCGGGAAGCAGGGGAGGGGCGGACGGGTGACCAGGCCTGTGCTCTGGGAAGCAGGGGAGGGGTGGATGGGTGACCAGGCCTGACCTCCGGGAAGCAGGGGAGGGGCGGATGGGTGACCAGGCCTGTGCTCTGGGAAGCAGGGGAGGGGCAGGGCAGGTGGCCAGGCCTGTCCTCCGGGAAGCCCACCGAGCACACCTGTGACCTGTACCGAGAGCCACATTGCTTTTTGCAATTGCCGTCTGTAAGTGTGCTGTGCTGAGGGCGGCGGTTCCTAAGTCAGTGCCGCCCCTTCCCTCCCATAGCGGGTTTTCAGCAGGTCTAGCCAGCACCACCCCTGCAGGTTCACTCTCCGTCCTTCCCCTTCCCCTCCCAAAGACAAAGGAACAAAGCAAGACAGAAAGGAAAAGAAAAGAAAAACCACCTCTTGTTTCCATTTCCTGGAGTTCATTTCTGTAACTACTGTTTTATGTGATCAGAGGCAGGGACGTGAGCCTCCCCTAACGTTTTGAAGTGAAGTCTCATTCTAGCAGGCTCCAACATCCACACCATGTTCATTTCACCATGTTCTCTTTCCATGTTCCTGCCTGAGCAGAGCTGAAGATGTGGAACAGGTGCTGGAAGCTCTCTCTGTGTTCTAATTTTCCAGGGCCTGCCCCTCATTGTATGGGTGTGATCCTTCCTTCCTTCTTTCCTTCCTTCCTTGCTTCCTTCCTTCCTTCCTTCCAATTTTCCAGGTCCTGCCTCTCTTTGTATGGGTGTGATCCTCCCTCCCTCCTTCCCTCCCTCCCTCCCTCCCTCTCATTGAAGGATTAAGATGTTTTAAAATGGAAGAGAGGTTGCCTTGTGACTGAGCGTGCCAATCAAGTTCAGATGCATTGGTATTTTTTAAGCAGGTCCCCCCCCCCGCCTCCCCCCTTCCCTACCACCCGCCTGGTGTGTTTTGTTTTTTTTGGGGGGGGCTGATGCCTTGTTTGTGCTACCACTGGAGCTGCACCCTCATTCCCTTACAGAGACACGTTTAGAAGTCTTTCAAGAATCGAAGTTAGGAAGTGGCGCTGTGGCTCAAGCGGTAGAGCGCTCGCCTTGAGCTGAAGAGCTGAGGTACAGCGCCCAGGCCCAGAGTTCAAGCCCCACGACCGACAAAAAAAAAAAAAAAAAAGAATTGGAATTGAGCCTTCCTCTTCAATTAAAAAAAAAAAGAATCGAAGTTAACATCTCAAGGTAAATCTTTAGCATGTTAAATAACTTGAGCTCAAAAAAGGCCATGTCTGGTCGGGGCTGGAGGCACTGCTCAGGTGGCAGTGTCACACAGGGGCGGAGAAGGCTGTGTCTCATTGTCTGTCAGTAAGGAGTGTAATACAGGCATACATTAAAACAAGTGGTGATGTACAGAGAAGTTAGTTACACATCAGACCGTGTCACCCCTTACAGGTATACATTTTATTGTACTTGTGTTTATCCCTCTTAAGTGTACATTTATATGTTAAAACTATACACATATCGTTATCAAATCAAATAATACTAAGCAAAATATCACTATGAGTTTGTGTTGAGAATCAAACCCAGGGCCCCCGGCCCTGTCTTTGTTCTGTTTTTTGTTTGTTTGGTCATGGGGCTTGAACTCTGGGCTGGGTGCTGTCCCTCAGCTCTTCAGCTCAAGGTGAGTGCTGTACCACTTGAGCCACTGTGCCACTTTGGTTTTCTGGTGGTTCATTGGAGATGAGAGTCTCATGGACTTTCCTGCCTGATTGGCTTTGAACTGGGATCCGTAGGTCTCAGCTTTGTAAGTGAACGTTGGCAAAGTCTGCTTGGTTTAATGGTTGTCTGAGTGTGCTCATAGATGCCTTTGCTTTCAGAATGGAGATTATCTTACTTCCTGTCCAGTCGCCTACATAGCAGAGATTTCATAGATTGCATATTTTGTAGAATAGTTTTTGGTGCCAGATGTTGACTTTTTATGTACCAGATTTTTTCCTGCAAATGCCATATTTTTATTATTAATTTTTTAGTTGTTGTTATAAAGGTGGTGTGTAGAGGGGTTGCAGCTCTGTGAGTCAGGTGAGGAGTATGTTTCTTTTTGGACAGTCCCCCTTCTCTGCTCTCTCCCAGTTTTCCCCTCTGTGCACTGGACTTTCAGGGGAGGAACAGAACAAAAGCTCACCAGTTAAGAATGAATCTGGTTGTGACTTTTAATTGATGAATAATTCAGGCTGTTTCTCAGGCAGGTGATCTTAATTGTGAGTCCTGCTATCCCTTCCAGTCTTTTAAAGATTAAAAATCACAATTCAAAAAAATTGGACAGTGTTGAGGATGAAAACCAGTATGTCTGCAGGCTAGTCTAGTGCTCTGCTTCTGAGCTGCAGCCCTGGCCCTTCCGGGGTGTTCTTTACCTGATCCTATCATTAGTTAACTCTGGGAGATAGCAATGATTTGGTCCTTTGCCAGTGGGTATAGCCCAGTAGCGCTTGCCTGGCATGTGTAAGACTGGGCTCCGGGCCCTCCTGCCGAGAAACCCCACCTGGGACTACTAGAAAGTTAGAGTTTTGCTGATGTCAGAGACTCCCATCCATCCTTCTATCCCACAGGAAAAGAAATAGCAAGCAGATCAGGGTTGTCTGAACTGTCCAGGACTGACCTGGGTTCAGACCTGGGGGAGGGGGCGGAGGGGAGTCAGGGCAAAGGTCTGAGGTCAGAGTCCAAGGAGGGTGAAGAAGAGGCAGTGAGGCTGGCAGCCGGGGAGGGCGCAAGCTCCTGGGCCTAAGAGACCTGGTCAGCCTCTCGAAAGAGCTGCCTGGGAGAGCGGAAGAGAGCAGCCACCAGCCAGCCAGAAGAGAGGCTGCGTGTGCTTCCCTTGTTACACACACACACACACACACACACACACACGTGTAGATAACACACACATACACATGTATACATAAACATATATGCGTGTGCATCACACATATACACGTATATATAACATATACACAGGTGTATGTAACACACATGTATTCACAAAACATACATGTATACATAAAACACACGTGTATGAAAAAACACACGTGTATGTATGTAACACATACATATACACAACATTCACATATAACACACACATATACGCACCTTGGAAGTCAAACCCAGGGTCTTGTACGTGCTAGGCAAGCACACTACCACTAAGCCCCACCTCAGCCCCGAATAGTACGTGTGTATATTTTATTACTTTTAAGTAGTTATACAAAGGGCTTTCAGTTCCACGACTCAGTTTGTAAGTGCAAAGCATCTTGATCCACGTTCCCCCTTCTGTCGCTCTCCCCATCCCATAATATATCTTATTCTCAGAGAAAACACGGGTTGAGTTTTTCATGAGGTACTTGCTAAGTACCTACTACACCCACAGGAGACATGGACGCCGTCTCTCTGCTGCTCTCGCTCAGAGAAGTGAATCCGTGACTGGGCCCTGTCAGTGCGCCTCTGTGCATGGATGGCAGTGTGTGGGAAGGGAGCTTCCCGGTGCTGTGAGGCAGCAGCATGTCTTGGTGGGCTGGGTGAAGCCAATGTGAAGGTGCTAGCCCAGCATCCCGGGCCCTGAGGTGCCCTGGACCCCTCCAAGAGGCGAGAGGAAAATCAAAACAGACTGGAGTCTTGGGGTGCAGGGCTTTGAGCGGCCACCATCTCCTGGGCAGCTCTGCCACACAGTGCGCTGGCCAGCGAGCCCAGGGCTTCCAGGGCTTTCCTTGGGTTGGGTGCAGGCAGCTTTATTGCCAGCTCTGATGGCAGATGGTGCCACACCTTTGTTCTGTGTTCTGGGCACCCGCGGGAACACGTTCCCCAACTGTGTATAGCACATAACCCTTTGTGGGCTCTGCTAGGGTAAACAGAAATGAAACTAAAACGATGTCTGCTCCTCTCTGGCTTCCCACCGCCTTTCTACAGCTATTTGCTCCAGTGTAATGAGAAACTTCCTTTTTTTAACTTACATTTTTAATCAATGATAAAACAGTCTGAATGATTTCCACATTTGTGGTTTTCAGCACATTTATATTGTGCAATCATAGTTACTGTCTGTCTCCAGAACTTTCTTGTCTTTCTAAACGGAGACAATAAGCCTTGAACTAAACAACAGGCCCTCCCCACACACCTCACTGTCTTCTGTCCATGTAAGTGGACGAGGCGGGAGCCCCGTCTGGAGGGCGGCGGCTTCAGGGCTCACGCAGCGTGTGTTGGAATCTCCTTCCTGCATGGGCGCACCAGATTTTCTGTTGATCTGCTGGTGGATACTTGCTTCCTGCATCTGGTTACTTCAGATAATGGTACTAGAACCTCCAGTTCTTTTGTGCACACACTCTAGCAGACTTCTAGATCATTCCATGAAATGGTTGATGACAGCCACTTTTTTATTTTTAGTCATGGGGCTTCTGGTTTTCTGGTGGTTCATTGAAGATAAGAGTTTCACCAACTTTCCTGCCTGGGCTGGCTTCAAACCATGATCCTCAGATCTCAGCCTCCTGAGTTGAGTAGGGTTACAGGTGTGAGCTACCAGTGCCTGACTCCATGTTTTTTTTGTTTGTTTTGTTTTGTTTTTGGGTCCGGTCGTGGGGCCTGAACTCTGTCCCTCAGCTCTTCAGCTCAAGGCTAGCGCTCTACCACTTGAGCCACAGCGCCACTTCCGGCTTTTTTTCTTTTTGCTTATGTGGTGCTGAGGAATTGAACCCAGGGCCTCATGCATGCAAGGCAAGTGCTGTACCACTGAGCCACCTTCCCAGCCCCCTTTTTGTTTTTTAAAATGCTGGTTCTAGGGCTTGAACTTGGCCTGGGCACTATTCTTGGTGTGTATTTAATTGAAGTTAAGTGTGTCAAGCTAGGTGATGGTGGCTCACGCCTGTAATCCTCACTACTCAAGGAGGCTGAGATCTGAGGATCACAGTTCAAAGCCAGCCAGGGCAGAAAAGTCTGAGAGACTCCTATCTCCAGTAAATAACTAGAAAACCGGAAGTGGCGCTGTGGCTCAAGCAGTAGAGTGCTCGCCTTGAGCTGAAGAGCTGAGGGACAGCTCCTGGGCCCAGAGTTCAGGCCCCACAACCAAAAAAAAAAAAAGAGTGCCATGGACTTTCCTGCCTGGCCTGACTGAACCATGATCCCCAGTCTCCTGAGTAGCTGAGAGTCAGCACCAGAGCCTGACAGCCACTTTGACAAGGTTTTCCAGTGTCAAGACCAAGGTCTCCCAGCAAAATTGGCCTACAGGGTGGTACAGAGGAAATGTAAGGTATTTGGGGAACTGAGTCACACATGGACAATGCAGCCATCCTGAAACACGGTAAGCCGCAGGGACACCAGCCAGCCCAAGGCTTTCTCATGAGACATCCACTCGCTATTTTTAGTGGCCATCCAGAAAAGCCAACAGTCCCAAATGGCCAGGATTTGGTCAATATTTTTATTAGTGCTTTTGTTGTTTCCAAGTTGGGATCAACCAGAGGAGGACAGAAAGGCCCCAGGTGGATGGATGGGTTGGGGACCGGCCTTCAGGCCCCTTCTCCCCCACAGGCGCCTCCCGTCACAGCCAGAGGAGCCACGCCCTTTGTACCACTCATTCCTGGCCTTCATTTGTCCCAGGAGCAAAGCACACCTTCACAGGTTCCGAGGGTGAGGCCAGGTGGTGGCTCTCAGGTCTGGTTTCCTCCCCTCAGCCGGGCTGCCTTGGGGGAGATTCCCAGGCCCGGCCCTGCTGCTGTGAGCCCCTGCCGGGTGCTCCTGGTTCTGTCCCCGGCCCAGGGGAGGTTTGCCCCACTTCCCTCTCAACGCAGAGTAAGAGTTTCTGAAAACTTGCCAGAGCTTTATTGGGTAAGCAAATGGGCAGGCAGGCAAGAGAGGCACTCTGTGGGTGCTTCCAGAGGGGGAGACGTCATGGTATTTATATGATAAAGGCAGGGTCTGACTTAAAGTTATGCAAATACAAGTGTTTATCTTTGCTTTGTTATTGTTGTTGGTCATGGGGCTTGAACTCTGGGCCTGGTGCTATCCTCAGTTCTTCAGCTCAAGGCGAGCACTCTACTGCTTGAGCCACAGTGCCACTTCGTTTTCTAGAGGTTAATTGGAGATAAGAATCTTTTGAATCATGATCCTCAGATCTCAGCCTCCTGAGTAGCTAAGATTTCAGGCATGAGCCACTGGCGCTGGCTATCTTTGCTTTTAATTACCTTTTTTCTTGGTCATTCCTGGGGCTTGAACTGGGTGCTATCCCTGGGTTTTTTCCACTGTAGGTGAGTGCTCTACCACTTGAGCCACAGCACCACTTCTGGTTTTCTGGGGGTTCATTGGAGATCAGAGTCTCACAGATTTTCCTGCCTGGGCTGGCTTAGAACTGTGATCCTCAGATCTCAGCCTCCTGAGTAGCTGGGATGACAGGCGTGAGTCGCCAGAGCCTGGCTTCCTAGTCGCTATTGATGTACGTTTACCAGGTGGGCTTGGGTTCTCCCAGATTGGCCTGTACTTTAAATGCATGACGGGCGTCCAAATGTGATGAGTTCTGTTTACCCTTGAGGTAAAGGGTGCCTCCCACCACACGTGTTGTTCTTGGAGATAAGCCATTTTGGTTCTCTAGGGTACTTTTTTTTTTTAATGTGCCTTTCCCAAGCTTGTGGTTTTTCCCCTGGTTAATTAGCATTAACTAGACATAAATCTAAATGGCTCTTTCCCTCTTCCTGTCTCCTTTCTCCTCTCTCCTTCTTCCTTTCTCCCCCTCCTCCTTCCTCTATTCTTCTCTCCCCCTCTTTCTCCCCTCTCCTTCCTCCTCTCTCCTCCCCCTTTTCCTCCCTCCTCTTTCTCTCTCTCCTCTTCAGATCCCTGGTCTAGGTGGACGGATGCCCTACTTTCTTTGTTGTTGTTTTGGCAGTAATGGGGTTCATCTCAGGTGGGGCTTCCTGCCAGGGCTGGGACCACCACAGGCTCCCTGCAGACACGCACCGCTGTCCCGGCCTCCCTCCGGGAGATGGCACGCACGGACTCTTCTGTCAGGCTCCCGTGGGGCTAGGGTGACGGGTTCACCGCTGTACCTCCTGTAGCACGAGGAGAGGAGTTGCAAACTTCCTGTCCAGGGTGGCTTTCAACTGTGATCCTCCTGCTCTCAGCCTCCCAGGAAGGTGGGATTTGGGCTCATTTGTGAGCCACCAGTGCATGGCCCACCAGCTCTTTTTTTTTGGTCCATCGTGGGGCTTGAACTCTGGGCCTGGGCGCTGTCCCTCAGCTCTTCAGCTCAAGGCTAGCGCTCTACCACTTGAGCCACAGCGCCACTTCTGGTTTTCTGGTGGTTCATTGGAGATCAGAGTCTCATGGACTTTGCCTGCCCGGGCTGGCTTTGAACCTCAGATCTCAGCCTCCTAAGTAGCTAGGATTATAGGTGTGAGCCACCGACCAACTTTTTTTTTTTTTAATGTCAGTTTTTTAATGTCAGTTGTGCGGCCTGAACTCTGGGCCTGGGCACTCTCCCTCAGCTCTTCAGCTCAAGGCTAGTGCTCTACCAGTTGAGCCACAGTCCCAGTTCTGGTTTTTTCTGCTTAATGTGGTGTTGAAGAATCAAACCCAGGGCTCATGCATTCAAGGCAAGCACTCTACCATTGAGCCACCTTCCCAGCCCCTGAATTTTCATGGAAAAGTTGCCAAGTAATACATATTTAGTTTGTAAAATAATCCTTATGCTATGTCGCCCATCTGCCTGATCTGTGGGTCAGTGTGGGTGAGGGTGTCCAGTCTTGTTGGGGACGGGCTGTGGGTCAGTGTGGGTGAGGGCGTCCAGTCTTGTTGGGGATGGGCTGTGGGTCAGTGTGGGTGAGGGCGTCCAGTCCAGTGCTTGCTTCGGACCTGGCAAGTCATAGCAATGGCGACTCCAGGTGTGCACCAAGGCTGAGTGGTAATGGGGACCGGGGCGCCCTCCGTCCTCCCGTGAGGGGGGCGCCCCCTGTGCCTCTTCCAGGCCCCTCCAGGACCCTGTGAGCCAGCAGTGAGCCAGCACTCTCCAGCACGGCTGTGCCATGGACCCTGAGGTCAGCCTCCTAGGCTTTCGCGTGAGTGGGGGGGGGGGGGCCGAGGGCCTCTGCTCTTGGGATGTGCACGTTGGTGCGGGTCTAGGTCAACCCTCGCAAAGTAGCCCTGCCTGCAGGGGTGCCTCAGACCTGCAACAGAACAGGGGTCTGAAGGACCTGAGCCCCGCAGCGGCTGGAGGGGCTCAGGGGGGTCTGTGGGTGTCCCTCGGGGCTTCCAGCCTGGGACCATGGTGGTGGCACAGATGCAGCTGGGCAGAGGAGACGGGGCCTGTCCTGTGTGTGTGCTTGCCACCTTGCAGACCTGCCTGTCTACGAGGGCTCTCTGGGGGCCATCGTGGCCGCTCTCCGGTCCTGGAGAGGTCTGAGAGGCGGCGTCCGCACCAGGGCACGGCTCCCTGTCCACACCCCGCCCTGTCTGTCTTTCAGTGCAGGGGGGTGGGCAGAAACACCCAAGGTGAGAAGAGGCACACAGCGGGGTCAGCAGAGCAGCCTCCCCTCCTTTCCTCTTCCGTCACTGCCATCACGGAACCCGGTGAAGATACCTGACTCACAGGCTCCATGATAAATATATACAACAAAATTTAGCCCTTTAACTTTTCCTACACTAGTACGTATATATTGTATAAACAGTCTGTTTCCTTTGTGACATGTCCGACATGTTACTGCTGACTGTTACAGGGCATATCAGCTGCATCTGTGCAGAAGCCCTCCCCACTGAACTCCAACCTCTCACCCCACCCAGACGCTGGCCCCTCCCCCCCACTCTCTCCCTACAACCCCGGGTGCCTGCGGGCTAGCACGGGCAGAGGCCCGGGCTGTGGAAACCACGTGGCACTAATCAGGGAGCTTTCACAGGCTTATTTCCTCACAGGTTTTTTTCTTTCTTTTTTTGGTCAGTCGTGGGTCTTGAACTCTAGGCATGGGTGCTGTCCCTGAGCTCTTCAGCTCAAGGCGAGCGCTCTACCACTTGAGCCACGGCCCACTTGCTCACAATTGTTAAAGGCAGAGTCTGCAGTCAGGGTTTCATGGGGCAGGTTCCTCAGGGGCGAGGAGGTGGTTCTGGCCTCTGCCCTCTCTGGCTGCCATCTGTGCTTGGAGTTTCCCAGCTCTGTCTTTACACTTGTCTCTCTGCCTGAACCATCCTATTCAGACACCGGGGGTCTTCACTCGATTACATCTGCAAAGACCAAGTTTCCAGATAATCCAGACGTTTCCCACTGGTGGACCCTGGGGGGTCAGAAGGGCAGCTCTCCCTCTGGTGTGTGTGGAGGTTCTGCCCAGGCCTTGAGCCTGGCCAGCTGCAGGGTGCCCCCAGTCCTGGCCCGGCTCCCCACAGACTTCCCTGACCCCTTGTCATTGTAGGTCAGCAATGCTGCAGGCTTCGGGAGGGAGCGCATCACAAGCCTTCTGGTGTTCGGCTTCCTCCAAAGCTCCTCGGATAAGTTCCGGCAGGAGCTTGACACCTTGGGCCATGAGCTGTTTGACGGGGCTTTGCCGCAGCCGTTCTGTGCTGATGACGAGCTGCAGACCGACGGCCTCCAGGTCAGCCGCTCCTACGGGAGAATAGAGGCAGGTAGGCTCCTTGCGCGTCTCCATCCCACACCTGGACTGGCCCTGGCCAGGGGGCCTCTCCACTCAGTGTGTCCCGCTCAGCCGCCGGCCATCCCAAGGGCCGTGTCCTAGAAAGGCTTGCGCCATGGCTTGCTGTCCTGATTCTGTCTGGACCAATGGAGAAGGCTGATTTTTGTCAGTTTGTGGGGCTTGAACTGATAGCCTGGGGTGCTGTCCCTGAGCTTTTAGGCCAAGACTAGAGCACGTTGGAGCCACAGTGCCATTTCTGGCTTTCTGAGTGGTTGATTGGAGGAGTCTGATAGACTTTCCTTCCCTGGGCTGGCTTAGAACCGCGACTGTCAGACCTCAGCCTCCTGGGCAGCTTTGATTACAGGTGTGAGCCATGGGTGCCCAGCTGGTGTTTTTTTTCCCCCCATCCGTCGTGGGGCTTGAACTCTGGGCTTGGGCGCTGTCCCTGCGCTCTTCAGCCCAAGGCGAGTGCTCTACCGCTTGAGCTACAGCGCCACTTCCAGTTTTCTAGTGGTTTATTGGAGATAAGAGTCTCATGGACTTTCCTGCCCAGGCTGGCTTTGAACTGCGATCCTCAGGTCTCAGCCTCCTGAGTAGCTAGGATTACAGGCGTGAGCCACTGGCACCTGGCTCTAGTGTATGTTTTTATAGTAATTTTGCATCGCATGTAGTCTGCCTGGTGCTGATCTGTAAGATGATCGGAGGCACTGCGTATTTCTGAGCCTCACTTGAGAATAAGGAACTGAGGCCCAGAGCATTGACAATGGTCCTCATGAGGCTGGTTGGACAAGGTGGAGGGGTTCTCAAGCCAGAGCCCCGGTGAGCCGGTCCGTCACGCCTCGGCCTTCTGCTTTTCTGAGCCGCGTACCCACCACTCAGCTTTCTTTTTTTTAAGTTGGGTCTTGCTAATTTTTACCTTGTCCAGCCTTGTATCTCAGCCTCCCGAGCAGCTGAATTCACTCCTGTGTCCCTGGTGCTGCGTCTAGGTGGGCACCCTAAGAGAACAGAGGGTGTGTGCAGGCCCCTTCCCTCCCATGCCCAGCCCACAAGGCCCTCGGGTCAGCTCGCCTTTGAGACTCAGATCACTAGGCGGAGAACCAGTCATCCAAGACGCTACTGCCCTCTAGTGGTTGTGCAGAAGGCCAGCAGCCAGCCACGATGTGTCTTCTGGACGGCCCTCAATGGAATAAAAGCCCTGCTCACTTTGGGAGGTGTTTGGCAGAGCGGGCAGGACTAGCTTCATCGCCAGATGAAAAGCTGACTCTTCTCATGCTCTCGACACCACCCTTCCCCTTCAGATGGCAGAGCCTGGCTTGGCCTGTGGGGCCACACGCTTGACCATAGTTGTGCTCTGGGAGAGTGTGGGCCTGTACAAACAGTCCTGCACAGAACTTGAGAGCAGGATGAGAATAGCATGTGTCCACAAGGGCCAGATGGGCTGGGCGTGGCTGCCGAGGTGCTGAGCTGGTGGCTAGAGAAGGGGTGTGCACACAAGAGCTGGAGAGGATTCTGGAGACACACAGGGGCAAGTCAGCACTGGGGGTGCAGGAAGGAGCAGGTGGGTAGCCCGAACTGCACAGGGCTGGGGAGGCTCTGCGGCTGGCGTGCAGCTGGGCTGGGGGACAGGTGGGAAGGAGAAGAGGCATGGCGTAAGCCAGAGCCTGTGGGTGGGAAAGCCAGGACTTCTGGAAGGCACAAGGAGTCGTGGGAATTAAGTCAGAAGGACTTGAAGGCCAGACAGACGTGAGCACTGGAAAGGTCCTGTGCAGGGAAGTGTGGGCTGTGTCTGTGAGGCAGCACCAGAGTCCAGACCGCAGAGAAGGCGGGGTGGCGTGGTGGTAGAACACTCACTGGCCGCAGGGAAGGCTTGTGTTGGGTCTCTAGCAGTGCGGAAGTGCAGCCAGCCAGCCAGACCCGGAGCGCAGGCTCGAAGGTCTTCCCACTGCCCCCCTGCCTTCCTTTTTTTTTTTCCAGGTGTTGATCCTGGCCTCGAACTTGGAGGCCTCATTTGCTCATTTGGCTTCTTCACTCAGAGCTTGAAACATGCCTTCAGTCCTAGCTTTTAGCAGGCTAAATGGAGAGTAGTCTCTTGGACTGGTCTGCCTGGGCTTGCTTCCAACCTGTAGCGCCAGGCTCAGAGGGAACAGAAGTGGTAGAAATTTCTGTCAGTCTAGTAACTGAAATTGGTAAAAGTGTCAAGGAAGGAAGGAAGATGAGGAAGGGGCGTGCCCGGTGTGGCTGACAGGCTTTCTGAGGGGAGGCGGCCAGTCCCAGACAGCTTAAGGGTTTAAGTGAGACAGAACCAACCCTGCCACACCCACCGCAGCGCGGGAAGCGGGCCGACACCTCAGGGTCCCCTGGCTGTCTGCTTCCCTTGTAGCATGGAGGAATCTCCTTGCACCATGGCTCAGCTGAGGGGACCCCGCGGGCGGACACTGGAGCATGCTGCGGCGGCGGTGGCAGGCGTGGAGTGGGGCTGTTATCTGGATCTTGTCTTGGCCGCCCTGCAGATTCTGAAAGTCAGGATGAAGTCATCCGGAGCATCGCCAGGCACCTGGCCCAAGCCGGGGACGAGATGGAGCACCACCTCCGCATCCACCCAGGGCTGGTGAGCAGTCTGGCCGCGAAGTTCATGGACCGGAGCCTGAGCGAGGAGGTGAGTCGGGAGTGGGGCTAGCTAGCAGCGCTCGTCCAGGGCTCCTTCCCTGCACGTGTCCCCGCGAGCAGTCTGCTGAGCCAGCACACACGCGCATGTGCCTGCCTCTCCACACAGCAGCGGCACACTGCCTCTGAAACGCTTCTTCCTACTCACCTTTCAGGACTTTTTTTTTGGGGGGGGGGCAGTTGTGGGGCTTGAACTCTGTCCCTAAGCTCTTTTTTGCTCAAGCTTAGTACACTCCCACCTTCTTTGTCAGTCGCAGGGCTGAACTCGGCCTGGGCGCTGTCCCTCAGCTCTTCAGCTCAAGGCTAGCACTCTACCACTTGAGCCACATCGCCACTTCTGGCTTTTTGTTTATGTGGTGCTGAGGAATCAAGCACTCTCAATTTTTTGAGTGGTTAATTGAAGGTAAGAGTTTCCATGGGGATCTTTCTGCCCAGGCTGGCTTCAAACCATGGTCCTCAGAGCTCATCCTCCTGCGTAGCTAGGATGACAGACACGAGCCACCAGTGCCCGGCCATTCATGACCATCTTTCAAGAGGGAAGAATGTATGTAAGCCGTGTCTTTCTCCCTGCAGGACAGAAGGAGCTGCCTGGCTTCTGCCCTGAAGGAGGTGGGCCAGGCCTACCCTAAAGACATGGAGACAGAGAAGGCCACCCTCATAATGGCAATGCTGCTGGCCAGAAAAGTGGTCACCCTCACACCATCCTTGTGCCGTGATGTCTTTCGCACAACAGTGAACTTTATTAACCAGAACCTTCTCATCTACGTGAGGAACTTAGTCCAAAATGTAAGAGCCCATGGTGGGGGCCGCGGTGGGGCCTGTGTGGTGTCAGCTCTGGTGTCTGTCTGTCTCACGGAGCCCCTGGTGCTGGCCCTGATGTCGGTCTCAATAGTTTCTGTCTTGCTAGAGCTCGAGCCCGCAGTGCCAGCCCCACATGCCCACATGTCTGTCTCGCAGGAGCCTGGGGAGGAGACGGTGCCCCTCACCCCTGATAATCCTAGCAGAAGTGCGGGGTATCAACTTTTTTTTTTTTGGGGGGGGGGGGTCCGGTCATGGGGCCTGAAGTTCTGGGCCTGGGCGCTGGCCCTCAGCTCAAGGTGAGCGCTCTACCATTTGAGCCACAGCGCCACCTCTGGCTTTATTCTGCTTATGTGGTGCTAAGGAATAGAACCCAGGGCCTCAGGCATGCAAGGCAAGCGCTCTACCACTGAGCCACCTTCCCAGCTCCCTCACCAACCTAATTTAAAAAGCATGGTACTGGGCCAGGCTCTGGTGCCTCAAGAGCCTGAGAGCTGAGAGTCATGGCTCAAAGCCAGCCTGGGCAGGAAAGTCCATGAGATTCTGATCCCCAAGAAGCTAGAAGTGGAGGTGTGGGTCAAAGTGGTAGAACAAAAAGGCTCAGGACCAGAACAAAACCCACCAAAAAAAAAAAAAAAAAAAACCATGCTGGGGCTGGGAAGGTGGCTCAGTGGTAGAGCGCTTGCCTTGAGCTGAGGGACAGAGCCCAGGCCAAGTTCAGGTCCCAGGACCCACACACACACACACACACAAAAAACATGCTATAAAAGACGTAGGTCAAGCAGAGCACCTGCCAGAACCACACCAACAATAACATGCTAAGGATGTCGGAGACACCAAGAGCAAGGAACAGAACCCCCGAACCAGGGAGCCCATCTGTCCTATAACCAAGGTGTTAAAAAACTAAGCCAGAACCTGGTGGCTCGTGCCTTTAATCCTACTACTCAGGAGACAGATCTTAGGATTGTGGTTCAAAGCCAGCTGGGGCAGAAAAGTCTGTGAGACTATTATTTCCAATGAACCACCCGAAAACCAAGAGCTCGGGGATGGCACCCAGGCCAAGTTCAAATCCCATGATGGACATTTAAAAAAGTAAAGTCCGTTTAATGATGATAATGGATCTGCTGCAGAAGCCAGGCAGACCTCCTCCTCTGTGGGTTTTAAAAACACTAGGGAGCAGTGGGCCTGGGGACATGTCGGTGTTTGAAACCGCGGTGTCTAACCCTCTTGGTAACTAACAGACCCTCAGTAGCTGCCCCTACTTGTGCTACGGTGGTTGGTTATATAGGTGGTTAGATGCAAAGGTGAAGTCGGGCTGCCCGGTTGCAGAGAGTGAGCCCAAGGAAGGTCTTACCCAGAAAGCTCTTCCCAGGGAGTCGCAGGGCACCTCCTGAACCCCAGCAACCTGGGAGATGGCAGCGAGGAGATGCGTGCACTGCAGGGATCCAGCAGTGTGTGCACCGTTGGCCGTGGCACCAGATCCTGGTGGGAATTTGGTGGTTAATTCTGCCACTCTTCCACCCTTGCACAGGAGGTAGACTGACGGCATCCCACAGAAGCAGGACTGGCTGAGACTGCACAGAAACAGAGCACAGCTGCTGCCGTCGGAGGAACAGCTGTGGCCACGTCACCGGACAGCCCGAGAGGACAAGCCCTGGACAGGAGTCACTGCCCTGGTTGTCAGGCTGATGTTTTGGGCTGGCGACCCATTTAGCCATTTCTGCACTGTGATGCTCACAGTAACAGCTGACCGGGGGGGGGGGGGGCCGCGCCGAGACAGCGCCCAGATCTACAACCTTGTGCCTTCTCAGCTGCACAGGTTCTCGCTGGAAAATTAAATGAGAAAGCAGGCTGTAAGGCAGAGGGGAAAAAAGCCACAATTTTTGTTTAAAAAAGTTACTGTTTAATCATTAAAGTACAATGGGGCACGGTCTTAGAGCAGTCCTACCTGTCTGGGGAGGGCAGGGCTTGGAGAAGCGCTGGACCCTACCGGTGAAGAATTCCGCTCAGAAGGGAACCGCCTCATCCCAGGAGGTAAAGCCCACGGGCACAGGGGTCTGGCTGTTCCACTTGCCTTTGGGGCGGGTTAAAGGTGCAGGGGAGGCCAGGCCGTGTCAGCCACGGCTCCACGAGGGCCGCCAAGCGCGTGTTTTCTCTTCAAGGCTTTCATAAAAATTCTAAGCCGGTGGAGAGCCAGAAGCTACTGCGGGTGTCCTATATTTGCCTTTTCGATTGTACCTCACGCCTGGAAGCTAAATTGGGAAGGTTCAAAGGTGAAAGCGCAGTTCAGCAGCTGGGGCTGGCTGCAGCCGGGTGGTAGATACAGGTGCTGCAACCTCCAGAGTCCTGTCGCCAGCAGCTGAAGAGGGCACACAGGTGGAGGCGGCCACAGCAAACCCAACTCACTTCAGGGAGGACCAAGATAACAAGGGAAGGCGTCCGGCCAGAGACACCCACGGGCCTCTGTCCCCATTGGAAGTCAGAACTCAGGCCACACGCGTCACTTCTGACAGCGGTGATGGGGGGGGGGGGGAGAACAGGTGAGGAGTAATGAGGTACTAAGAAACCACAACTGTTACCAAGCCCAAAAAATCACTCTCCAACAGTCAGCACCAGATACACACCACTGGGGCTGGTCTCCATCCGACCTGGGAGAAAGGGACAAACGCTCAAAGCAGACAGGTGCCGGCGTCCAAGAGCCACTGCTGAGAATGAGTCCAGTACCAGCTGCGCCTCACGCTTTGCAGTGGACTTTCAGGGGTTTCTACAGCTCCATTGCTCATGTTCCTGCACAGATGTTCTTTGGTACACACAGCGGTCATTGCAATCAGTTTTCAGCAGGGGACAGAAGTTCTTCCCAAAGCAACAGCTTAAAACATCACCGCCAAATCTAAACTAACAGAAGAAATCTGAAAAACAAGTAAGACGGTGCCAAACCGCCCTCCTACGCTTTCAGTGGGTCACGGCTGTCCCGCCTGGTGTTCCAGACCAGGTCTGGTGTGCTTTCTTGGTGCGTCTTTGGAAAGACGCACATTTGGTGAGGGTTACACTTCTGTGCGTTCAAAAGGTCAAACTACTGACCCCACCTCAAGACCCAGCAACTTCATCAGCTGGGCCAACGGCTTCAGAAGCAAATACATATGCACTTGGAAAGGGTCTTTGGGATGACCCCACCTAGACTCAGCTGCCACCTGACTCGAGATGAGTGAGCCATTCCCCACCCGTCTCCCAGGAGCACCAACACTGCTCCTCACGGGAAGGGCCGCGCGTGCAGAGAAGCTGGCCAGGGAGGGAAGAGGAGCCAGAGCCCCACAAGAGAAACTGCGCAGAGCAGAGCTGTGGCCAGAAGAGCTACTGGAACATTCCAGGGGAGGGGGAGTCAGTTCCAGCATAGGAGGGGAGGGTACTGGAGCCAGTAACAACTGAGTTTAACCAAAGAGGAGAGAGGCACTTTGCGTCTGAAGGGAGGGAAGACCACACCAGCAGGAGTGCACACTGGTGCCGGCCAGTGGCCACGTACACGACACACTTGCTACGCATCCTCAAACAGGTACCATTCAAACCCCAGCAGGAAGGCCACAAACAAACCAGCAGCCCTGAAACGTTGTCAGTGTAAGTCACACACTCACCAGTCTCTTCAGGGGGTGCAACAAGCACCAAGTCATGAAGAAGGGTCCCCAGAGGAGAAGGGAGAGCTGAGCCCACTGCTAATGTCCCAGGACGCGGCCTGGTAAACACCCCGAGCGGGTTCAGACCTGGGCGGTGGCAGCCAACTGGGGCTCCGGCTGTGTAAACACAAACACTGGCGAAGGCCATGCGTGATGATGGGGTGGCTTCCTAACCACGCTCCCAGCTCTCCACAGAGCTCCCTGTAAATAAGGCAACTACCCAGAGTTGGCAACGCACAACAAAGGTCACGGCGTGGCGTGGCGTGGCGCTGCTGTGGATGGCAGTGGGCTAGACGAGCTGTCGGCTGAGCTGCCAGCAGTGCTCAGCCCCCCCCCCCCGCACCCTCCCAACCGGCTTGCTGTTCAGCAAGGGAGGGAGAAACTCAAACATGAAATGGAAGCCGGGCGCTGGTGGCTCACACCTGTCATCCTAGCTACTCAGGAGGCTGAGATCTGAGGATCATGGTTCAAAGCCAGCCGGGGCAGGAAAGTCTGTGGGACTTATCTCCAATGAACCACCAGAAAACCGGAAGGGGCGCTGTGGCTGAAGAGCACAGGGACAGCGTCCAGGCCCAGTGTTCAAGACCCACAACCAAGGGAAAAAAAATGAAATGGAAGACAGGCCCGGCTGCTCCTTCAGCTGCCTGCGGTACCTGGGGATGACCTCGTCACGCGAACTAACCTTGCTAATGAGCACAAGAATTTAATACATTAAGAAATCTCCCAAACCATCACCAGCAACAACCGTGGTCTGGAGTCCCAGCCCCCACGCCGGCCGGGCAAGCGCTCCTCTGCCACTGGAGCGAGCGCCATCTATCTTCCTCAGTTTAGGTTTAGCCTCACGTTTCTGCCCACGACTGGCCTGAGATCCTAATCCTCTTCTCTGTGCCTCAGTGTAGCGGGGGCTACAGGCGCACAGCGGCCACCGAAAGGAGGAAGATCTCGCTACCTTTTCTCCCTACGGGTTTCAAGCCACAGTCCTCCTCCTCTGCCTCCCCAGCCGCTGGGCTGAAGGAGGGCGGCCACTGCAGCGTGAAGGGAGGAGACGCCCAATGCGGTCAGGAGCTCTGGGCTGACCTTTACGAAACACAGAAAAGGGCTGTGGCTTCTGCGTCATCATCTGCCTCCTGAGGGAAATGAGCAAGCCATTCGCTGAGCCTGCCCGAGCCACACAAAGCAGTGACTGCAAGGGAGCACTAGGCTTGGAGTCCCGGAGGTGTCAGGGGCTCTTGACTTCCTCACAGTGCGACGAGGGAAGCCGTGGCAAACTTCAGCGTGAGTATCCGCAGATCTAACCACCCCGAGCCCCGCCCAGAGACGGTGTAACCAGCCAGGGCAGGTCTGCGTCCCGACATCTGATGTGGGCAGTGATGCCGAGCACCGTTGGGTGCCAGACTGTCCCTGGTCCTCATGCTAAGAGCCATCGCCACGTTCCATGAGAGAGGAGTTTGGGCGGAAATACACAGATTGTAGGACGAAAACATTCTCACCTATAAAACTCAGTTCTTTAAATGATTGTATCATGCTTTGGAGAAGAAAGCAAGAGCAGGCATGGCTGGGTCCGCTCCCCAAAGACAGGCAGGCCTGGCTTCACTGGAAAGAGAACAGCTCACGGGCAGGAGAGAGCTAGAAAAGGTTTGGGTGGGAGCTGCACACACCACTGGCAGTGGTTCTTTAACCAGAATGTTCTCTAGCAGCCAGTGACCATGTGTCGTCCTAAGGCACGGTTGGTACGGACAGGATTGTCACTTCAGTAGGTAACTGAAGCTGGTATTCTTTAATCCTGGTTCTTTGCCAGGTGAGTAGAATCTGTGACAGTCAATGATCGGCACAGCCTCACCGCCAAGGGCTGAGGCAGGAGAGGGCTGGGAGTTCAAGGCCAGCCAGGGTACAAAGCCAGCCCCGTTCCCCAGACAAAGAATTATGCAACAGGCTGCACATGTAGCTCAGCGGCAGGGCAGGGGCCTGGTAAACACATGGGCCCTCAGTTGTATCCCCAGCAAAGAGGGGGAGGTGAGAGAACATTCTAGAACCAGCAAAGCTTCCTCTGTAGCTCACAAGGACAGTGTTTCACTCTCAAATCTGGTATCTGTCTTTCCCTAACCAACTTACATGTATTCCAAGTATATTTCGTGCTAAGTCAGTCAGGGGGCAAGAAGAACGGAAGCCTGGAGCTCTCAAACCGAAGGAGCTGGATGTGATGGCTCACCCCTGAAATCCTACACTGAGGAGGCCGAGATCGAAGGACCACGGTTCACAGCCAGCCTGGGAGACAAACTCACGCAACTCTCCTCTCCACTTAATGAGTAAAAGGCTGGAAGTGGAGGTAGGGCTCAAGGAAGAGTGCCAGGCAACACTGAAAACCGCTAAGTGAGAATTCAAGGCCCAGTGTTCAAACCCCAGTATTGGCGCACACGTGCGCACACATGCACACGCGCACACACACAAAAACAGGAGAAAGCAGAAAAATAACTGTTTCAGCCATGTGACTGCAAGGCAGGGTACGGTAGGGCACGCCCGTGATCCGGGTCTCAGGAGGTAAAGGCAAGACTGTGAGGTTGAGGCCAGCATGGGCTGCACATTCAGACCTCGGGTGGGGACGGGGAAGAGGGACAGGGGGAGCAGAGATGACCTCGCCTGTGGGGACCAACACCTCCAGCCAGCGAAGCCAACAGAACAGCAGCTCTCACACTCAGGAGGCTAGGGTCTGACTGTGCTTTGAAGCCAGCCTGGGCAGTAAAGTCTGTGAGACTCTTCTCTCCAATTAACCACAGAAAAAGCTGGAAGCTCCTCTGTGGCTCCAGTGGTACAAAAGCAGCTCAGGGACAGTGCCCAGGCCCTGAGTTCAAGCCACACTTGGCCAAATTCCTTTACACGAATGCTCACTAGGTGAAATAAAGCAGCAGTCAGTTCAGAATCGCACTTCCTTCTCACACCTACCCTGCGGAAGACAGGATCACGCACAAGCCTGAATTCACAATTCAAATGTGTCACCACTAGAGGAATATTAAAAGCAAAAACAGTCACAACTCACCAGGCCCTTGGCTATACAAACATAAACATGGCAATTAGAACACAAGAGGCCTACAGCTCACCACCAGCCCCGTGAGCCGCCCCCCGAGCCCTGAGCACGGCAGGGAAAAGCTGCGGGACAAAACACACTCATCTCCTCTTGACCAACTGCTAAAATTCTTCAGGGATTTGTTTTAAAAAAATTGGTGTCTAACTAGAAAACCGGAAGTGGCGCTGTAGCTCAAGTGGTAGAGCGCTTGCCTTGAGCTGAAGAGCTGAGGGACAGCGCCCAGGCCCAGAGTTCAAGTCCCACGACCGACAAAAAAAAAAAAAAAATTGGTGTCTAAGCCAGGAGCCAGTGGCTCAGGCCTACAGACCGAGCTACTCGGGAGGCTGAGATCTGAGGATTGTGGTTCGAAATCAGTACGGGCAGGAGACTCTGAGACTCTTATTTCAAATTAAAAAAAAAAAAAAAAAAACACTCAGAAAAAACTGGAAATGGTGCTGTGGCTCAAGTAAATGGTAGAAGGCTAGCTCCGAGCACAAAGTGGCTCAGGGACACAGCCCAGGCCCTGAGTTCAAGCACCAGGAATGGCAAAAAAACAAAATGTCAAAAATGAAAGCACATTTAAAAGATCAGATCTTGGTGGTGAGAGCAGGTAAAGTGCTTTTATTATACACTCGGCATTCCGGAAGTCTCGTGTAGCTGAGGTGAGTCTGAGGAGTCTCAGGAAGTGTGCCCTGCAGGAGCCCTGCGGCCCTCAGGCACTGACCGGGCACTGGCCTCCCCGAGGGACCAGGCCCAGCGCCGGATCTGGTTCATGACCCTGGCATGTGGGCTGAGGCCTCTTTCCTGGACACTAAAGGCCAGTCAGCAGCCTGACTTGCAACTCAAGCCTTTTCTCCCTGTTTTGATTTCAATGACACTTGGGATTAAAGTAATAAAATGACCCTTACACTGGATCTCAAAGATCCTATTTAGTAAGGTTCTGACCTGGCTGGTTCTAGTCCTCGGAAGGCATTGCTCACCACATGGCATGAGGCATCCAACACTGGAGGCCAGACCCTGGGAAACCACACCAACCCCACCACGGGCACCACGCATCCCCGCCCAGGAGAGCCACGGGCAAGCCACCAGGGCGGGGTAGACACTGAAGAAAAGGCCACAGCCCCTAAACACGTTGCGTGCGTCCTTTGAAAGGTTCCTAACGGCAGCAGAAGCTGCTGGAAGCATCGGGGACCTAGGGTGTGCAGAGTATGGGCAAGGCCCCCGCAGATCGGGGAGGGGGGGAGATGGGACTGGTACCTGAGAGCCAGAAGGGCAGGGCTGTGGGAACATAGCCTGGTCACGGGAAAGACAAGGACTCCAGCCAGCTGAATGGCCCTGGAGCCTGAGGATGCAACCCCAGGCTCTCCTGCCTCGAACCTCTCCTTCTAAAGCATGGCGGGGGGTGGGGGCAGGGACGACTCACGGCTGGGGACAGGATGGGACAAACGGGAGACACCTGGCAATGTCTGAGACACTTCCGGCTGACCTTGCTGCGTGGGGGCTGTGGGGGCTGGCCATGCCAGCCCCTACACCGCCCAGATGGCCTTCGAGGGGGCACAAGCGCCCAGTGCCAGGTGTGGGACGCTATCATCACTCACGAGACTCGGAATCCAGCGTAAGCCAAGGCCCTGGCGCCCGGCCACGCAGCCCCTACCGCAGCCCTACGTGCGACTGAGCTTCTGCTTGCTGAGCGGAAAGCCAGTCCCCAGGGCATTCCGCAGTGCACCCTCCGCGGCTGGCAGTTCAAATTCCACACGTGGTGAGGGAAACCTCGGATCCGGTCATCATCGTCCTCTGCTCCAGAAGCAGCTACTTTTTTTTCAGAGCCAAGGCCACTCCAAAGGCCACTGCCAGGACAGCTACAGCGGCAGCCCCTCCAAACAGCAGCGTGGCCCTGCCCTCGGGGCCTGGGGCTGCCTGGGCCTCCCCACCGGGACTCTGTGCCTCACCCAGTGGCGCGGGGGGCCTCTCTCCCTCCTCTGGTGGTGCCTCCGCCTCTTCTTCACAGAGCTCCACAAACAGAGACGGGACGGGGCTGGCCATCTCCCTGGCAGCCGCTTGTGTGTGGGGTTCCCTGGCCTCCAGCGAAGGGGCAGTGGTGTGTGGACGCGGGGCAGCGGGGAAGGCAGCCTGGGGGTCCCGGGAGGGCACGGCCACCCCTGCCCCCTCCGCCCCTTCGGGGACCTCTTCCTTCTCCACATGGACAATGTCTGAGTTAGACGAGTTGTTCTCGCTCTTCTCACCAGCGCCATTACTATCCAAGCTCTTGACCTCTTCGGGATCCATGGCAATCTGCTGCCAGGACTCAGGGCCCAAGGACACGGGCAAGCTTTCTGTGTGCCAGCTCTGGCTGGCCGACAGCGAGGCCGGGAGGCTCTCGCACTGCCAAGAAGTGGTCACGGTTGGGGACTCCGGGGGACTGACCTGGCCGGAGTTGTCACTGGGTAGGATATAAATGTCATTGCTGTCTTCTGCGATGAGGCCGGGGTCTTCCTCCTCCTCTGGCTCAAGGCTAAAAACGGTACCCTACAGAAACAAGAGAAGAGTCAACATAAAGCCTATTCTGGGCCTTGAACTCAGGGCCCAGGTGCTGTCCTTGAGTTCTTGTTCAAGGCTAGCACTTGAACCATAGCTCTGCTTCAGGCTTTTTTTTTTTTTTTTTTGGTGTTTAATTGGAGATAAGAGTCTCACAGTTTCCCTTCCTGGGCTGACTTCGGACCATGATCTTCAGATCTCAGCCTCCTGAATGGCTAGGATTACAGGTGTAAGCCACCAGCTTCCAGTAGTTAGTATTTTAAAAAGTTATTAAAAGCTGGGTGCCAGTGGCCTACACCTGTAATCCTAGCTACTAAGGAGTCTGCTATCTGGGGATCCCAGTTTGAAGCCAGCCTGGGAAGGAAAAAGTCCTTAACATTCTTATCTCCAAAAAACCGATAGTGGTGCTGTGTCTCGAAGTGGTAAGGAGCATTAGCCTTGAGTGAAAAAGCTCAAGGACAGTGCCGAGTCCCTGAGTTCAAGCCCCACGGTCAACAAGAAAAATAAAAGCTAAACTGAAAGAATATATTCTTCCCTGAAGTTCTAGGGTTAAGTATGTTTATTTAGACCTAAACAGTTTCTGAACAGAATCCATTTATTTGAAGAACACAGAGGAAGAATTTTTGAGGCATGCAACTGACAACTGGAAATGTGGATTTTATTAAATGGCAAAGGCTAGTCACTGAAGTCTGATATATAAAAAATAATTAAGAGGGCTGAAGGCACTGACTCAGATTGCCAGCTGGACAAACAAGACAAGCATGTGCCAAGACCTGAGTTCAAACCTCAATACCAGCAAAAAAAAAAAAAAAAAAATTCTAATCACAGCTGTGCTTCAGAAGTAACGCTGAGAGGCTGCAGGGCTAGCGGCATAACAGTGGAAGGACTTGCCTGGCAAATGTGAGGGTCTGAGCGCGGGGGAGGGGAGAGGGGCCCGCCTATCTAATATCCACAGCCGAGTATAGACACACACACACCCCTTTACACACACACACACCCCTTTACACACACACCTCTACACACACACACACACACACACACACACACACACACACACACACACACACACACACACACCCTTTAGTCCTAGCACTGGAAAAGATGAGGCAGGAAGATTACGTGAAGCCAGGGTGTGGGGCTAGCCTAGACAGCACAGTAAGACCCCGTCCCAAATAAGACAAAGTGACAATTTACTCTAACACCATAGAGAGATCCCAGAAATGCAAGACTGTGGCCTCCTCCTTGGGCAAACATTACAACGATCAACAGTAGAGGTTTTCACCTCCATGTTTGTGAGTCTCTTCATCATGGGTGCTGAGCTTGACACCAGAGATAGAAGGGAAAATAAATCTGTGTGTGTGTAAACTGGTCCTGAGGCTCGAACTCAGGGCCTGGGTGCTGTCCCTCAGCCTTTTCACTCAGAGCAAAACTACCCTGAGCCACAGTGTCACTTCTGATTTTCTGGCAGTTCACTGGAGATCAAGTTCTCATGGAGTTTCCTGCCGGGGCTGGCTTTGAACAGTGATCCTCAGAACTAAGCCTCCTGTGTCGCTAGGATGACAGGATGGGCTGGCGACACACCGTGAGATTTGTTTTAAGTGCTGCTACCAAGGCTTCAACTCAGGGCCTTGGCCTTTTCCCACCAGCCTGAGCCACAACTCCACTCACGGCATCTTCCTGTGACCTGGAGCCAAGAGCCTCCAGAGTTGGCGCTGGCTTCAAGTTGAGACACTCTGACCTCAGACTCCAGAGTTGGCGCTGGCTTCAAGTTGAGACACTCTGACCTCAGACTCCAGTTGGCGCTGGCTTCACGTTGAGACACTCTGACCTCAGACTCTCACGAGCTACCAGCACCCAGCTCAATTATGCTACCTTAACACTATTAGTGTTTGTGTTGTCATTATTTCTGTAGTTGTCTTGGTTAATCTGACAGGAGGACAAACCATTCTAAAATAAAATAATGCTGAGAACGGTAGTGTGCATTGCACTCTGAGCAACGCAGGAGGATCATGTGAGCCCAGGGGTGAGAGGTCAGCCGGGCAGAGCACTCACTCCCCCAGCTCACAAGTAAATCTCACATGTAAATAAGTTTATCAAACATCCAAATAAAACAGTAAGAAGACAAAGCAACAACATGAAAATGGCCGTGTTGCCATGTAATAAAAAAAACCCAATATCTCTCACAGAATTAAGAGAAATCAATCCAAAAATTCATATGGAAGTAAAAAAACCCGGTCAAGCAAAAGTAATTCTAAGCGACTGGTGCACAGCTAGTGGTAGACCTGAAGTTACACGACAGCAAGCAAGGGCAGCAGCCCACCACACAGACCTCAGGACCGGCAGAACAGCACGAAGAGCTGCCCAACAACAGCCAACACTCAAGAAAACACAGCCTCGACACCCTGGTGCTGGGAAACTACCCAGCTGCAGGAAAATGAGAATGGACCTTCACCTCTCATCCTGTACAAAGACCAACCTCAAAGCTGGGTGTCACTGGCTCCCAACTGTAATCCTACTCACAAGGCTAAGATCTGAGGATCCTGGTTCAAAACTAGCCCAGGCAAACAAATTTGAGACTTTTATAGCCAGTTAACCAGCAAAAAGCCCAAACTGGAGGGAGGGCTCAAAAGGAGAACACCAACCATGAGCAAAATCGCTGAGCAAGAGTACCTGGGTTCCACTGCCCTGCGTGGCTGGGTTTATCTTCCAGAGCACATTGCCACCATGTCCTGTAAAGTTAGTTTATAGAGCCTGCCCCACCCCCCGAGTTTCCCAAACATAGTGTCTTCACATCTAGACACTTGGTTTGTCACCTAATGGTTAAACACTGAAACTTTGGTAGTTCCTGCATAAAGTTTTCCAAGTTTTTAGTGCAAAAAAAAAAAAAAAAGAGTACCTGGGTTCTTAGTTCAATACCAGCATCAAAACGAAAAGCCAGGCCCCTGCAGTTCTCCTGTGAACCTGGCTACTCAGGAGGCTGAGATCTGAGGATCGCCCAGGTGGGCTTAAACCAATTAACCACCAAAAAGCTGATCTTGGAGTCGAGCAAAACAGCTGAGGGACAACCCCAGGAGCAGCACACGTGCAGGCACCCCTAGAAGACTCCAAGAAGACGTAAGAGTGTCAGCCGGCTCGAGTTCAACGTTGAATACTCGCTCAGCGTGCACGAGGTCTGTACCCCATCTCCAACGTTCTCTCTAGAACAAGGAGTGACGGTATTCTTTCCTTAGACAGCTAAGTGGTCGTTTCTTATTCTTTATATTTTAGTTAGCTACAGATACTTTTGTCAGGACACAGTTTCTTAATAAGGACTATTGAAAGAAACCAATCTTAACATCCAACACCTATGAGCCGGCGCACTGCTTCGAGGGGTCATACCCAGCCGCCATGTTGGATGATGTGCTCAGCGGCACAGTCCTCCAGGTACGCCACGCCGAGCTCCAGCAGGGCACGCAGGGGCTCCTCGCCGCGCCGGGTCAGCTCCAGAAGCATATGTCGAAGCAGGACCAGAGGCACCGCGATCTTCAAGGCAGACAGAAGAGCGTGTGAAAACCTGTCGAGCCTCAGGTTTTTACGATGCACTTTACGTGTTCAGTGCTTAGATACATCATTATAGCATTCCGTTCTCATTACAGTAAAACACAACTCCTACTAGGAAGTTCTAAATACTGAGTGTAGGTTTCATACAGTAAGGCGGCAGAAACAGTAATATATAAAATAACCGTGTCAGTGTGTACACAGAAACTCACAGAAGCACTGAGCGACTCAAGGACTAGTTTAATACATTCTAGCCAGCTAGAAAAAACACAGCCATTAAAAAGAATTGGAAGTGGCACTGTGGCTCAAGTGGGAGAGCACTCACCTTGAGCTGAAGAGTGCAGGGACAGTGCCCAGGCCCAGAGTTCAAGCCCCATGACCGACAAAAAGAAATGAATTAAGAGCTATGAGCCAGTAGCTCACATATGCTACTGAGGTAGCTGAGATCTAAGGACCAATTTCAAGTTCAGCCCAGGCACACAAAAATCAAGGGACTCTTATCTCCAAATAACCAGAAAAAAAGCCAGAAGTGGAGCTGCGGCTCAAGTTTAGAGTGCCAACCAAGAGTGAAAAAGCTGATCCAGAGTGCGAGGTCCTGAGGTTAGCTCCAAAGCAAGCACAGAAAACAAAGCAGTAAGAACTTTCTGCATGAATGTGGTGCACATGTGTAACCCCAGTACTTGAGAGAAAGAGTTTAAAGCCAGCCCAGATAAATCAACTGTGAACCTACTTCAAAGAAAACAAGGTGGGGCTGGGAAGGTGGCTCAGTGGGAGAGCACTTGCCTTGCATGCATGAGGCCCTGGGTTCGATTCCACAGCACCACATAAGCAAAAAAAAAAAAAAATGTCAGAAGTGGCACTGTGGCTCCAGTGGTAGAGCGCTAGCCTTGAGGTGAAGAGCTGAGGGACAGCGCCCAGGCCCAGAGTTCAAGACCCACGACCACCACCACCAACAACAAAAGAAAACCAGGTGAGTGTGGGTGAGGATGGCTGGAATTCACTACGGAGGGCCAGGTGAGGCTGACGAGGAGATACCACGGTGGGCTCCGCCTGGGGCCCTCGCCAGGTGGAGATTCACTTCCACATACAGTTTGTTTACCTTAAAAAAATAAATAAAAGCAGCAGCCTGGCACCAGTGGCTCACACCTGTAATCTCAGCTACTCAGGAGGCTAAGATCTGAGGATCAGTTCAAAGCCAGTCCGGGTGGGAAAGTCTGTGAGACTCATCTCCAATAAATTACTCAGGGGGCTGGGAAGGTGACTCAGTGGTAGAGTGCTTGCCTTTGCACGCATGAAGCCCTGGATTCGATTCCTCAGCACCACATAAGCAGAAAAAGCCGGAAGTGGCACTGTGGCTCATGTGGTAGAGCACTAGCCATGAGCTGAAGAGTGAGGACAGCGCCCAGGCCCAGAGTTCAGGCCCCACGACCAGCAAATAAATAAATAAATAAATATTATTCAGAAAAGGCTAAAATTGGCTCTGTGGATCAAGTGGTAGAGCACTAGCAGTGAGCAAAAGAAGCTCAGAGACAGCACCCAGGCCCTGAGTTCAAGCTCCAGGACCTGCAAAAAAAAAAAAAAAGTAAAAAAGAAAAAAAAATTTCACAATGAAATTCTCCCTTATATAACTAATGCATGCTATGAATAAATCTTTAAAGAAGAAAAATGCTAGGGTATAGCTCAAGCAGCACATGCTAGCCTAGCAAACACAGCACCTGATTCAGTAATGACTACAGTTTAAAGAAAAACAAACTTGTAAAAATTATTAACTATGGGCTGGGAAGGTGGCTCAGTGGTAGAGCGCTTGCCTTGCATGTGTGGAGCCCTGGTTTCGATTCCTCAGCACCATATACACAGAAAAAGCTGGAAGTGGTGCTGTGGCTCAAGGGGTAGAATGCTAGCCTTGAGCTGAAGAGCTGAGGGACAGCGCTGAGTTCAGGCCCCATGTTAAACTATAACATTATAATTGCCGGGCGTCGGTGGCTCGCGCCTGTCATCCTAGCTACTCGGAAGCTGAGATCTAAGGATCTCAGTTCGAAGAACAGCCTGGGTAGGAAAGTCCAGGAGACTCTTATCTCCAATAAACCACTCAGAAAAAGCCAGAAGTGGCGCTGTGGCTAAAGTGGTAGAGCATCAACCTTGAAAAAGCTCAGGGACAGTCACTCAGTCCCTGACTCAGTCTCAGGACAAGCACACACACACAAAAAATTGCTTTAGAAGAAAACTAAAGAGAGGCTGGGAATATGGCTTAGTGGTAGAGAGCTTGCCTAGCATGCATGAAGCCATGGGTTCAATTCCTCAGTGCCACATACTCAGAAAAAGCTAGAAGTGGTGTTGTAGCCCAGTGGTAGAGAGCTAGTTTTGAGCAAAATAAGCTCAGGGATAGTGGCCAGGCCCTGAGTTCAAACCCCAGGACTGGCCAAAAAAAAAGAAAAGAAAAAGAGAAGAAAAACTAAAGAGGGGAGAAACTAAAGAACAGAAAGAAGGGTGGAAGGGAAGGGGGGAGGGAAGGGGGGAGGGAAGGGAGAAAGGAGGGAAGGAAGAAAGGGAGAAAGGAGGGAAGGGAGAAAGGAGAAAGGGAAAGGAGAAAGGGAGAAAGGAGGGGAGAAAGGGAGAAAGGAGGGAAGAAAGGGAGAAAGGAGGGAAGAAAGGGAGAAAGGAGGGAAAGGAGAAAGGGAGAAAGGAGAGAAGGAAGAAAAGGAGAAAGGAGGGAAGGAAGAAAAGGAGAAAGGAGGGAAGGGAGAAAGGGAGAAAGGAGGGAAGAAGGGAGAAAGGAGGGAAGGAAGAAAGGGAGAAAGGGAAGAAGGGAGAAAGGAGGGAAGGAAGAAAGGGAGAAAGGAGGGAAGGAAGAAAGGGAGAAAGGAGGGAAGAAAGGAGAAAGGAGGGAAGGAAGAAAGGGAGAAAGGAGGGAAGAGAGGGAAGGAAGAAAGGGAGAAAGGAGGGAAGGGAGGGAAGGAAGAAAAGGAGAAAGGAGGGAAGGGAGAAAGGTATTTTAGCCAGTGGTCTGAATGCATTCTCCACAGTCAAACACACTAAGGTTTCACGTGGACAGAAATGCACAAAGGAATGAAAGGAATTTCAGTTCCTTGATGCTGTGCTATCAAGGAAATAACTGAGGAAATGACACCGGGTGTCTTTCCACAGAAGCCAATCAAAACCACGGGGAGTTGATGGCTCAGACCAATGTTCTCTGGTTCTCAATTTCCTTTGGCTTTTACTTCAGTAAAAGCCGCCCTGAGGAAATCAATATTACAATCTTAAAGGAAGAATGTAACAAACACATCTTCTTCAACGTTTTGACATTCTAAAAGAATTCTAGCTCAAGATATATCAAAAATCTCTTTAACACTAATAGGATATATGGCTACAAAGACAAGTTCAATTGTTTTCATAGTAAGAAACTTGTCCTATTATTAAAACAAAAATAATTATTACCGTTTCTCTAGTTCTAATATTCTGCCTTGGATAGAGACAACGAAGGGATAGTTCTTAAAATGCCTCAAGTTTACTCTTTATAACTTCAAAAGGTCTGTGTATGATAGACCACCAGCATGCTGATTTCCCAGCGACCAACAACTATATAACATTTTGAAGTTACTCTGTTTAAGCTTCACTTGAAAGTTGTACATATCTTACTTTGTGAATTGCTACGTGTAATTTCCTTTTTTTATTGTTGCCTGTCCTGGGGCTTAAACTCAGGGCCTGCGTACCATCCTTAAGCTTCTTTTGCTCAAGGCTAGCACTCTACCACCTAAGCCACAAAACCACTTCCAACATTTTCTGAGTAGATTGATGGTGATAAGCGTCTCATGGGAGCCAGGCGCCGGTGGCTCAGACCTGTCATCCCAGCTACTCAGGAGGCTGAGGTCTGAGGACCACGGCTCAAAGCCAGCCTGGTGGCTCAGACCTGTCATCCCAGCTACTCAGGAGGCTGAGGTCTGAGGACCACGGCTCAAAGCCAGCCTGGTGGCTCAGACCTGTCATCCCAGCTACTCAGGAGGCTGAGGTCTGAGGACCACGGCTCAAAGCCAGCCTGGTGGCTCAGACCTGTCATCCCAGCTACTCAGGAGGCTGAGGTCTGAGGGTCACGGCTCAAAGCCAGCCTGGGCAGGAAAGTCCGTGAAACTCATCTCCAATAAACCACCAGAAAACCAGAAGTGGAGCTGAGGATTAAGTGGTAGAGTGCTTGCCTTGAGCTGAAGAGCTGAGGGACAGCACCCAGGCCCAGAGTTCAAACCCCACGACCAAACAACAAAAAATAGACAGATAAATTTAGGATGTGATAATAGTCATATGCAAATTCTATACTAGGTTATATGAACAACTTGAGAATCTGCAAATATTTACATCCAAGAGAGGACCTAGAACCAATTCTCTGTAGATGCATCAGAGTCTATGATTGTAAAAAGAGATGGTATGAATCTTTGAATAGAGGTGGTCATTTGCAAAAATAATGATACTGAATTTTATTATCTCAAGGCCATACTTCTTCCTGGAGGTGTATCTCCTTATAGATGCTATCTTTTCAAGGTAACAAGCAAACAACAGTCTAAGACAGTGGATAAACATATGCTAGAATGGAAAAACACAGCCTAGAATCAGATGTTAGCCACAGAGTTGGTTCCAATAGCTACTACTCGAGAGGTTCCAGGCAAGTTATCTAGTTCTCATTAATCATGGAGAGGTGACACGAAAGGCACAATACTGCAAACTACAAAACACACGAGGCACTATTCATCTAAGAGACCAGAAACACTCATACTAACAAGGAACGTCTGGAGACCAATGTTGTGTCCAACACACAGAAGCGAAGAACTATTTATCGTCACAATGGGAGGTCCAGGGCACATAGAGAGGAAGGTGTGGCGTACTATGGATCACAAAGCAGAGGCAGCATTTTATGTATATATATTAACTCTAACGGTTTTGTGCTGCAGGATGCTAGTAATACTCCTAAACTTTATCATTAAGACTAAAATCTTGAAAATTAAAAGCAATCTAGTTAGTACCTTATTCCATCCGCTGGTATGACCCGCAGCCTCCAGTGCAAATTCTCGAAACGTCGGGTATGTCACCGGCCTGTGGAGGGTTTTTAGAAGTCTGAGTCACGATGAAGGGAAGTCTAAACCCCTAAATGAATAAACGTGCAAACGCTACATTCTGTTGCTGAATTCAATAGTTTCAATATATTCGACATAACTGTTGAATGTAAGATATGCTCTTAATATCTGGGATGAATGCCTTTACTATGAGAGGACTGTGAAGTATTTAACTCAGAGGTCACTGGCAGACTTTACAACTGGAGGACACATGGATTTTAAACACAGTTTGCAGTGAGGAGACACCAGTTTTTCCTGCAATACATGAAAACCCAGCACCAGTGCTCACACATGTAATCCTAGCTATGCAGGAGGCAGACACCTGGAGGACTGAGGCTCAAAGTCAGCCTGGGCAGAAAAGTCCACAAGACTCCACCTACAAATAGTCAGCAACAAGCTGGGATGGAGACATGACTCAAAAGGCAGAAAACCAGCCATAAACAAAGCAGGATGAGTCAGAGTAGAAGGCACTGAGCCCCACGTATTGACACAATGAAGAAAAATAAAAGATGTGTTCAATGGGCTGGGAAGGTGGCTCAGTGGTAGAGCGCTTGCCTAGCATGCACGAGCCCTAGGTTCAATTCCTTAGCACCACATAAAAAGAAAAAGCCATAAGTAGTGCTGTGGCTCAAGTGGTAGAGAGCTAGTCTTGAGCAAAAGCAGCTCAGGGATGGTGGTGCTCAGGCCCTGAGTTCAAGCCCCAGGACTGGAGGGGGAAAAAAAAAATCATAAACAGTTTGCATAGAAGTAGGAAATACAATGCTTCTCAGTTATTAGTCCCAACAGCTTTTGCAAGGTTTTGGATTTTTTTGGCAAAGCAGCACACTTCTTTCTTCAAATCTTACTTGTTCCCTCACTGTAAAACATGCTTGAGGGTGGAGAGACCCCGGGAGGGCTGCCCAGTCCAGCCGGGGCCTCCAGCCCTACGGATGACTTTCTGAAAACCACTGCTGTCTCACTCCCTCAACAGCCACACACCTCTTCCCCATTTAAGAAAATTCCAAATAATTGTCTACATGGAATCAGAAATTTTTACATTTGCTCATTTCATAACTAAAAGTGTCTGCTTCGAACAAATGGTAAAGCATACACACTGCCAGGATGAAAAGTTATTTCCTTACCTCAACAGCGACTCAGCATGGGGCCTGCAGCTGTACTAGTGAGGAACAGACTCTATCTTATGAAGTTGCCAACATCCATTAATACAAATATTTCTCTAGTTTTTATCAATTTCTTAACTTTCAGGAAAGAGTTTGGGAAAATTGATTTTTTAAAGATTTGTTAAGTGAATTGAGTCTACTTTAAAATACTTTTGTGAGCCAGGCACCAGTGGCTCATACCTGTAATCCTAGCTACTCAGGAGGCTGAGACCTGAGGATCACAGTTCAAAGCCAGCCTGGGAAGGAAAATCTCTGAGACTCTTACCCCCAATTAAACACTCAAAAACAGGAAATAGAGATATGCCTAAAGTGGTAGAGCACCAGTCTTGAGCAAAAGAGCTCAGGGACAGCATCCAGGCCCTAAGTCCCATGACCAACAAAAAATGAAATGTATGTTTTGTGTATGTATTTTGGTCCTGGTTCTCGGCACTGTCTTTTTTGTTCAAGGCTAGCACTCTACCAATTGAGCCACGGCTCTACTTCTGGCTTTTTGGGTAGCTAATTGGAAATGAAGAGACTCATGGACTTTTTTGCCCAAGCTGGCTTTGAACCGTGATCCTAAGATCTCAGCCTCCTGAGCAGCTAGGATTAGAGGCTGAAATACTTCTAGCTTCTTGATTTTACCTTTAATGTGGTAAGAATGATAGCTGTGGGAGTACTGACTCCAAGAATGTGGAAGCAGTTCATGTGCAGACTGTAGCCCCTAAGTTCTCCAACATCTGGGACGCATACGTGGCTTCAAACACAGAAGCCTAAGACAAGGAAAATGCCAGGTGCACAGGACAGTGCACAAGGCCTTGGCTCAGACTATGTTGGTCCCTAGAGGAAGGAGGAGGGCAAGGGCGCATGTTCAAACACAAGCCAGCCCCTCTGAGACCCGAGCGCGCATCGGGAGACGCAAACCCAACCACGGCTGGAGCCCTGAAGTTTAGCGAGGAGGCTAACGCACAGAGGAGACACTGCGCTCGGGCCCCGTGCAGCACGGGCTCACCGGCTGAGCAGCGCCTGCAGCGCCGTCTGCAGGGGCTCTCTCAGCCCCTGCCACGCTTGCTCTCCAAGGTGCGCCAGGCAGTCTTCTATGGAGCTCTCTGGGTTCGCAGGGCTGAACACCGGAGAAGTATGACGGTCAAAGCCAGTGCTGGTGAAAGCTGAAGACAAACAGGACACGAGGAAAACCTAATTTAACACGCAGTATCAAGAGCTGTGCACAAGCTGAGCTGGTAGCTGCACACGCCTGTATTCCTGGCCCCGTGTAGATATGTGCACGCGCACACACACAAAATTACCATGTTTTCACTCCTAGGTGGAAGCTGGACTTAAAAAGACATAGTTGTGGACATGCAGGTATGTGTATCCATATATCCACATTCATGATTACATACATATATGTATAGGAACATAAAGCTTGAATCTAAATAAGGGACTACTTAAAGGAATAAGGAAGGTTGAAGTGAAAAATAGAATGAAAAATTTTATTAAGCACACTTGAAAGAGAATGAATGTAGTCAAAATAAACTGGGGCTGGGAAGGTGACTCAGTGGTAGAACGCTTGCCTTGCATGCATGAGGCCCTGGGTTCGATTGCTCAGCACCACACAAGCAGAAAAGGTCAGAAGTGGCGCTGTGGCTCAAGAGGTAGAGCGCTAGCCTTGAGCTGAAGAACTGAGGGACAGCGCCCAGGCCCAGAGTTCAAGACCCACAATTGTCAAAAAAATTACTTGCAACTATGAAAATTGACAAAGAAATCTGCTAAAATTGTGTTAGGAAGGAGGCAAAGAGGAAGGCAATAAAAAATAAAAATAGGATCCTATCTCTCCTCAATTCAAATTAACAGCTTATCACCCACTCCCTACTCCTGGTTTTAGAATCCTGTCCATTTCCTCACTCCTAAGAGTTACCAATCATCTTCATAAAATATTCACTGCATTAGACCAGGCATGGTGGTACTTGCCTGCAGTTCCAGCTACTCAAGAGCCAGAGAGAAGAATAGCAGACTGGTAGCAGTCCAGGCAGTTAGCAAGAAAAACAAAAATAACCACAAAACAAACAAATGAACCCTGGGTAATAAAGGGTATTAAGTGAACACACTATGTAAGCCTTTTGTCAATTCTCTTTCTTTTCTGCCTTTTCCTCATTTTCTTTTCTTTTTTTGCCCTTTCTGGGGCTTGAACTCAGGATTTGGGCGCTGTCCCTGAGCTTTTCTTTTTCTTTTTTGGGTCTGGTCATGGGGCCTGAACTCTGGGCCTGGGCGCTGTCCCTCAGCTCTTCAGCTCTAGGCTAGTGCTCTACCACTTGAGCCACAGCGCCATTTCCAGCTTTTTTTCTTTTTGCTTATGTGGTGCTGAGGAATGGAACCCAGGGCCTCAGGCATGCAAGGCAAGCGCTCTACCACTGAGCCACCTTCCCAGCCCTGTCCCTGAGCTTTTCTGCTCAAGGCTGGTGTGCTACACTTTGAGCCACCCCTCTACTCTGGTTTTCTGGTAGTTTATTGGAGATAAGAATCTCACGTACTTTCCTGTCTGGGCTGACTTTGAACAGCCATCATCAGATCTCAGCCTCCTGAGTAGTTAGGACTACAGGAGTGAGCCAATAGTGCCTGGCCCAACGAACAAAATTTCACTGTTAGTAGACTTTTTCCCAAAACTTGTGATGTCATTTTAAGTACAAAATATGTGATATGACATATATATTTAACTTTCTACACATATATACAGGCAAAAATAAGAGCAAGGTTCTTAAACTATTCTTCCCTTAGGGCTCCTACTGAAGTTATAAAGGTACCAACTACAAATCAATCATCATGAACGGAGAGGACCGCCACAGGATCATTTAATCCATTACTCAGCACCAAAAGAGGCTGCATCTTAACCTCCTGCTTATAGCTGGAAAAGTGTACAGTAAAGAAAATTTGAACAGCCTTCCTTCCAGTTTCACCCTAGTAATCTCCTCTCAGAGAAGTTGTGCAATGAGGATATAGAGAGCATCCTTCTATGAAAATAAAACAAAACTAACAGTAGACCAGGTTAACTAGGTGTGGAATACACATACCTTCAGAAATTTCTTTGTCTAGGGCTTTTAGCTCTTCTTCAATTTCAGATTTAACTTTTAATAAAACTTCAGGATCCAGAAATTGTGAAGCTATATCTAGTTGAACCCCTGAAACAAAACAAAACAAAGTTACTATTAAGCTAATGGTTCACACTTATAATCCTAGTTTTGTGTTTTTTTTTTTTTTGTCAGTTGTGGGGCTTGAACTCTGTGCCTAGGTACTGTCCCCCAGCTCTTCAGTACAAGGTAAGCTGCTCTACCTCTTGAGCCACAGAGCCACTTCCGGTTTTCTAGTGGTTTATTGGAGATAAGAGTCTCACAGGGGGCTGGGAAGGTGACTCAGTGGTAGAGCGCTTGCCTTGCATGCATGAGGCCCTGGGTTCGATTCCTCAGCACCATATAAGCAAAAAGAAAAAAGCCGGAAGTGGCGCTGTGGCTCAAGTGGTAGAGCACTAGACAGCGCCCAGGCCCAGAGTTCAGGCCAAAAAAAAAAAAAAAGAGCCTCACAGACTTTCCTTCCCGGGATGGCTTGGACCTATGATCCTCAGATCTCAGCCTCCTAAGCAGATAGGATTACTGGCGCTCAGCTAATCCTAGCTTTTGACAAGACTGAGATCCAAGAATGGTGGTTCAAAGCCAACACAGGTATAAAAGCCCATGAGCCTCTCATTTCCAATGAACCAATAAAAAGCCAGGAAGTGGAAATGTGAGCTCAAGTGGTAGAGCACTCACTTTGAGCACAAAAGCCGAGGAACAACGCCAAGGTCCTGCGTTCAAGTCCCAGTACTTTCTAAAAATTAAATTAAATTTTAAGTAAATAAAGAGGGAGAGAGAAGTCAGTGCAGTACTGTAGTATTAGCCGGTTGTGTAGGTATGAGCACTGATAGTTCCAGCTTTGTGTTAACTAAGACAGGATGTTTTGAGCCCAGAAGTTCAAGGCAGTCTGGACAACATATGAAGATCGCATCTCAAAAAAAAATAAAAACTTGTACTTTAACTATTAGGTAACAAAGTATAAAATCAAAACTCATTATCAAGGCTAGAAGATACTTTTTGAAATGATTTTTTAAAAAGGAGCAACAAGGCTACAGCGGTGGCTAAAGGTGGTGGTGTGCTTCCGTAGTGTAAGCAAGGCTGTGGGTGGCATCCCAGAGGAGGAGGTGGAGGGGGGTGAGGAAGGGAAGGGAGGCGGGGGAAGGAGAGAAGATGAAAACATAGCAGGAACTCTAAGAATGAGCGTGTGCGGGTGTTCTGTGAATGTGCGACAGCGCCAGCTGGCAGTCAGGGGTGCGGTTTGCCCCACGGCAATCGGGGGGACCAGTCCCAGAGCCTCCCCAACTACAACAGCAGCACAGCGGGGAGGCCCCAACACACTGCCTTCTAGACGCATCCGTTTTTCCTTTTTGTGGTGCTAGGACTTTATGTGTGTCTAGGTACATGACCTACCTGAATTGTATGTACCAACATCAATCACGACCCTCTGAACTCAAATTTATCTGTCCGTTGTGGGGCTTGAACTTAGGGCCTGGGCACTGTCCCTGAGCTTCTTTGTGCTCAAAGCTAGCATCTACCACTCAAGCCACAGCACCACTTGGTTTTTAAGTGGTTAATTGGAGATAAGAGTCTCATGGGGACTCTGGCTTTGAACTACAATCCTCAGCCTCCTGAGTAGCTAGAATTAGAATTTATTTTTATTTTTTTGCCAGTCCTGGTGCTTGAACTTAGCATCTGGGCACTGTCCTTGAGCTTCTCTGAGCTCAAGGCCAGATGCCACTTCCAGTTTTCTGGTGGTTAATTGAAGGTAAGAGTCTTATGCCCAGGGCTGGGAAGGTGGCTCAGTGGTAGAGCGCTTGCCTTGCATGCCTGAGGCCCTGGGTTCCATTCCTCAGCACCACA